ACAACAGTCTTTTCCATGACTACACACAGAACTCCTGCCTAAATGTCCTGGAAATAACCAGTACAGTGTTCCTATAAGCACGCGTCTCACATTTTATACTTGGACTCACTTACTCAATCTATTTGTCCTCCCCTTCTCCCCTCACCCTCTAGTAAATAGATTCTAGCTTCCCTGTTAGTATACTGGCTGCCATTTTGTCTAGGAAAAAGGCCACACAGAAGTTTGTTTGCACCACTGGTTGGCTGCACCATTCTCTCTGCAGTTCTCATGAACTGCTGCTGAGGTCAGGGCCAAAAGAACCAAGCACCCCTGAGGTAATTGTTCAGTGGACAAGAACTGTTAGAAGAGAACTACAAATACTTCCCTTTTAAACAGTACCAAGGTCTGGGCTCTAGAATGCTATCCAGGAATCTGCTCCTTTACAGCACAGGTCAGAAAAAAAAAAAAAAAACCCATAGAGAACATCACAATCTCTCATCAACATTATCTATTTAACAGCATCTACCTGATACATCTGTTAGGAAGAGAACAGGAACAGACAGCAAACCTTGAAAAAGATGTATATTTAAAAAAAAAGTTTCAGCAGCTTCCCCAACCAAGATAGATAAAATGATGCAAGCAGTTCTATGTTAAAGAACAAGATCCAGGAGCAACCTACCCAGAAATAGCAGGGAAAGGAAAAGACTTCGGGGTTTTTATGGTTTTTTTTTGTTTTTAAAAAAATACTTTCAGAACAAATTTGTGCGTTTCAATACATGCACTGCCCTCAGCAGGTTTGTTGAACCAAAGAAATGTAAGGTATCATTGCAAGGGTGACCGTGCACTAATAAGGTTGCCCAGAGAGGTTGTGGAATCTCTACCCATGGAGATGCGTAATGCTCAAATGGTTCTGAGATTCACGAGATCTGAGTGGCTCTACTTGCACAAGGGATTTAGACTAGATGGTAACCAATCTTCCAACCTTGACCACACTGACAAATGGCACCTGACATGGAAGTGCAGAACTGAATTACTCCATGAGGAAAAACAATTGCACTCACTGACATTCATTGATGCTTGCTGAACATCTGTGGAGACCAAACAGTGGATGGATATGAGCATAATGAGATGGTGGGTGGTGTGTTTCAGCTGTGGCAACAGCAAGTCACCTCCTCTGGTGCAGATTTTTACGAGTGCAGCACACAGGCTCTTCTTCATCACTGGTAAAAATGCATGACTAATGGCAGTGACTATGTTGAAAAATAGAGCAAATTCTAAGCTACAAAATACTATGAAGTAGTGCTCTTTGTACCTGCTGTGGTTTCCACATGAATAAATAGAAGGCATTACTTTTGGAGCAAGCTCCATGCATATGCAGCGTGCATACGGATACACATGTATATAAAAATACACATTGTGTTTGTACATTTATAACGTTAAAGTAATACTATATATTTATTACACACCCCCACTGTGTTAGAAACAGCAGCAGCCTTAGGCTCAACGGTTTAGTTTCACACAAGCAAATTTAAGGTAAACAACAGAGTCTAAAATGAGCTAACGGGTGTCTGTATACATAGTACATTTTTAAGAAAATCATATTAACCACGTGCAGATGGATCTATGCTCCCCTTTGGTCATTCAAACCTTGCTTCTCTTAACAGAAGGAAGGAAGCAGTAGAAACCCTCCTGTCTGTACGCACTACTCACTGGCCCAAAGCCCAGAGGAGATGCCTAATGAAACACTGCTCCACAGCTTCCATGCAAGGTGATGTCTACCTAAGTGGTTGCAGTTTACACCCAAGTGCCCACGTAGAAACAAAATGCATTCCTTCAGATGCAGAGGCCGACAGGAGTTACTGCTCCTGTCAGAGCAGTAGGGGGGGGACCAGGCTGCTACAGCACACTCTGGTCTAAGCACAGCCTGTGAGGTAATGTGAATTCCTTGGAAACCACAGGAATCCAGCACAGAAAAGGTAAATATCCCAGTGGAGCCAGTGCTAATTAGGAAGCCAGGCTACCGAAGGAGGGGTTCTGTCATGGGCTGGTGGGAGCTCAGGCAGCAGGAAGGCTGCTCGTGGCAGCACTGGGAAGCCCAGATGCCACTCTGTCTCAAGTCACCCTGGAAGGTTTCCCCCCCCCCTCAGCTGCTGCTCCTTGGGGGCCTTTGCAAGAAATCTTGGTTTTCAGCTCAGTGTTGCCTTTTTTTTTTTTTTTTTTTTTTAAATTTCCCAATCTATTTTTTAATTTCAGTGTAAATGTGACTAACAAATTCCCACTGGATTAATGCCCTTCAAGCCACTTAGGCTCTGAACTGCGGCTACCCAAATCTTGCAGCTTAGGTAAGAAAGAGGCTATGGAGAAGCATCCTGAAAACAGAGACATTTCCCTATGAACTACTACCATGTGTCAAGGCCCATTCTCTCAGCAGGCACCAAGCAAGACAGGACTTCTTCCCATCTCATATGGAGATACCTAGGAAGAGGGGAAAAATAATCACATGGGAGACCGAGAAGCATCCCACTCCCAGTTGGTAACAGGGGCAGGGAGCAGCCTGTACTGTTGGAGGGAGCACTCCCCATGTCCTCTTCACGTGTACTTCAAGCACAATAGGCTTGCTATTCTTTGAAGTATGCCCCTCCAAAAAACCACACAATCCACCAATTCAACAGCTGCCACAAGAACAGCCTTGGGGCTTCCACCTGCTAATGCCCACATAACTATTCATTGGGTACGGTGAGTCACCTTTAAAAACATTTTCTGAGGTCAGCCTCTAATGAAGACTCTGGTTTATTAACACTTCACTTCCTATGCGTACTAGGATTTAAAAGGTACAGCAATAAATATATTTTATCACATATTTTAAGTAGTCAGACAAAACAAGCTAGGTTTTAACAAAAGATCAGATGATTGAGTTATACGCTTGGTCAAACCTGGACTAAGCTTATCAACAGCACTGCTCTTTCTAGAACATATGCTTCAGCTGGTCAACTCAAATCTATAGCTTCAATGCAATGCAGAGTTCTCCAGGCTGCCAAACACAGATGATCAATTTAGATGATGGCAAGACCAGAAAGGTTATATTGTAATGACAATCTGAAACACAGAACCCATTCATGCTACCTTTCTTAAGTCTCCAGAAGTCTGATATCTGATGATTATCTAAGATTATGTAGTAAGTACTGTTTATTCTGTGGGGGAGAAAGTAGGCAAGTTGCTACAAAAGGAAGCTGACATGGGCATTGGCAATATGCTTTTGGAAGATAAAGGACAAGAAGTTCTAAAGTCAACAATCTGCCAAAAAAATTGCCTTGAAAAGGAGAACTTAAACCACAGCAAATCAGCTGTTATTCAGTATTTCAAGTACAAACCAACCAGCAAGACTTGAAAGCTTTGCTATATATCTCCGGGTATACAGCCTTCATATCTCCTTCAAAGGAAATTTTCTCCTCACTCTTTCGCAGTCATCCAGGCTGGATCCATAACCCCTTTCTTCTTGGCACTGAGGCTTCACGTTCCTGTCTAGATCACAACTTGGCAAGTCTAGCTATGCCAAGAGAAGCTAAGCCTAGGGAAGTATCTAGTTATTATCAAATAACAAACATACAATATCAAATCTGTCCCTTTGCAAGAAGATCATGCATCTTATGATTCTGATAGCACTTCTTTTCTAGTAGAGACAGTAGTCAGTTCAGTTCCTGAAGTAGTCAGGTTCCTCTCACATTAGAAATACACAAAGCCTAAGACTGGAGGAACATATTACCTCTCAGACAAGCTAGAAGAAGGAAATGGGGGGAAAAAAGAGCATTTCAGAAGAGCAACCCAGAAAATGCCACTCCAGCTACACTTCAAAGACTACCTATGCTTTCAGAAAGCAGAGACCATAGTTCACTATTGCACGTCCCTAAAACAGATTGCTTTGTTCTGTTGGTGGATTGCCCCTCAGATTCCTTTAATGCTGCCTTTTATACCAGGCCATTACCTCCCTGTTCTCTGCTACATATTGCTCTCTCAAGCACTGGTTTTGTTTTTGTTTTATTTTGTTTTTTTTTTTTTTTTTCTGAGTAAGAAGTAGCAGCTAGGTTCCTCTCCCAAAGGTTAAAGCATTTCCAACCCCACCTCACAGAATTTTTGTCCCAGCTTTACACCAAAGCATTACACCACATGAGGCAATAAAGGGGTCTCTCCCAGCACTTAACACCACAGTGTTAAATGGTAGGGCAACAGGAAGCCAAAATCCAGTAGTACAGAGATCCTCACCTCCCACCAAGAATCTGAATTTGGAAATCCATAGGATGGGAAAAATCCAAATCACTAAAACTGAAGACTACTAGTGCCACCTGCAGGACATACAGAGCAGCTCACATCAAGTTTCCTTTTGGGATGAAATAGAATAAGGCATTTTTGGCAGATAAGCCTCCCTCAGAATCTTAGCTATCTTTCTTAAATTCAAAAGAAAGTTGACATCTACCAGGGAAAGGACAGTAAATTAATTAACATATTTGATAGTGTAGAAAATACAAATGCTGATGTAAAATTTAAAATACAATTTGAAGGCATTAAGACTGCAAAGATCAACAGGTCTCTAAATGTTTTTTAATTTATCATTATACAGAAACTAAAAATGTTTGTCTTCACCTTGTATGCTCCTGTACCAAGAGAATGAAGAAAGGGCATGAAGAACACAAAATGGATTCAAGAAGAATCTAATCTTTAGAATCAACACTTCAATAATGGTGTGTGGCCATTCCACTATCTAAAGTTGAAAACCAACTTTATTACTTCCTCATGTAATAAAATCCCTCACTAAAGACCCTCTAATCTATATAAAGAAAGCTCACTAGACAAAGTGCAATGAAATATAGTCTACTTTAAAAAATTTTTGCAGAATGCCAGAAGTAGCACTTCCCTCTCTTATTCGCCACTAGCTCAGAATTACAGAAGGAAGCCAACATGTCTGTTGATCACAGAGTGCATGTACACTGAGGAAATAAAAAAAAAAAAAAAAAAACCTCCCCTACCTGGCCAATCCTTCCTCATAGAGATAGATGACAAGTGGATCATAGGATGTAACCAGAACATACAGGCGCACATCAAATTTGAAACCTGAAATGAAGTTGCCAGAAATCAGTGACTGCAAATACCTTTCATATATCATAACCAGCTGAGAAAATACAACAGACCCTAAGAGCAATGGGAGGAATAAACCATTACCTGCTGCTGACATACGATGCTTGAAGCCTAACTGAAAAGCTTCCCAATTTCAAGGAATTTTCCTTTTTTTTTTCCTCCTGGTACTAGTGTAAGATAGACGACTCAATCAACTAAATTCCTGCAAAGGTTGCAGAGCTCTTCTGTTCCTAGAAACAGGAGTGCATGAAAGCAAGAGCAATTCCAAAGCATACTCACCGTCTATGAGCAGGGGGTTGTTGATGTAACGAGAAACCAGGATGTTGTCTTCCAGTACAATCTGATTTGGCTACAAAAGGACAGAGAATCCAAGAGTGAGAAAACCAGGAGGCTCAACAAGTAACAAGACCACAAGATCAAACCTATCATTTTTCCAGCTTTCACCTCCTAAAACCTCTTTGTATCAAGTATTATGTCAGAGGGTGGGGGTAATAAGACCATAAACACCTCCCCTCACAACACAACAATGAAAAACTAACAGTCAGTCACAAAACACTTTCATAATGAGATCCTAACAAAAACCCTGAGAATGATTACATTAAGAAGACCACCGAATCTTCCAGTGAAGTACTTCTTAGAGTAAACTGCAGGTTTAACAGCCCCATGGCAAAACAAAATAGGCAAGAGAAATAAGAAATGGCTGTTGTTGTCTGTTTCCTAAGCACTTAACCAGACACAGAGGAGGGATTTACTTAGAAGGCACTGGAAAGAATATGTTACGACTGCTAGTGAAAGTGTCACAGGTGAAGAAAATGACTCCTCAGGTTGTGATCTTTATGGCTATTATCCAACCCTTTTGACTACATGAATAGATAGCTTCTACTGAGGGTCAGTTCACAGCCGGGACACAGTATGACAGAGAAGCCACCCTTGTAGGTAAGAACAGAAAGCTTTATGTACAATAAAAAATACATCACAAAGTCATGGGACCTGTCGAAAGACTTATACAAAGCAAGGAGTAAAAGCTTTATCTCCTTGTAACCAGTTATACTTACTCATGGTAACAATTTCTTATAAAACAGTTTCCAAGAGAGAACCCCATCACCCTGGCTTTATTCAGTTTTACAGGTATTCAGCTTTATCAGTGTATGGAGTAGGAAACTTAGGTACATATATGCATTCCATATAATACAAAGGAACAAACTCAAATTCCCTCAGCACATCACAAAAGTGACAGTATGTTTGCTATGGACCAGAGAAACTGAGAGTTTAGTTTGTTTTAAAAAACAAGCCATGTGATAAGAGTCTAGAAGACACTCCCTTAATGGAATCACAATGAAGGAAAATGAAGCCTTTGGGCTAGGCTAGCTGAAATGTTTCTGGAACAGATTTACACAAAGGGAGACTGGTCCCAGAAGGGTCTTTTTCCCAGCTCATGGCCAACTGCCATAAAAGCCTGAGCTCATTTTTCTCTTTCAAGCAAAGAAAAAATCTGAGTGCAGCTCTGGAAATACTTACTTCATACACTTGGCAAATTATTCCTTTATGTTATGGGAAGGGATCCAGGTAGAGAACAGATGAAGCAGCATGACCCCTTCCATGCAGGGGAGGCTAAGTGAGTGAAGTGAAAACAAAATAACTCACCAGTCAGTTTTGCTGCTGAGAATATTTATTGGAATATCCTCGTGTATTCTGGCTCCTATCCAGATATATTTGTTACCTATGACAACCTAACCCCTGCAAAGTCCCAAAAAGGCAACATAATACTATGACCAACATACCGAATTCAAAGAATAAGCCTCTTTACACCTCAATTAAGGCACACTGGCATTCAAGTAACAAAACTCTTAAGACTGATACACATCCTACTGAGTCACATATGGCTTCATTTTAGCTGGTCTTTTCCAGAGTTAAGAAGAGGACACTTTTTGAGGACTGTTTAGGTTGCAAAGGGCAAATAACCAAAGAGAGTTCTGGGAATCTTCCTAAAGTCAGCCTAGTGTCAGACACAAAAGAAAGTATGAAGCAGCACAGTTTCCCATAACTGTCTCAGGAAATACGAACTCACTGCTAGTAAGCCAAGACTCGAAAGCACCATACAGGCTGCAAGGTAAGTGCAGAGTACAAAGAAATAGCTTGCTTTTGATTACACAAAGGCCAGGACAAGCTATGCCAGCGGCTCTGGACTGCTGAACTGCACATCAATGCACTGCTGAAATCCAGAGCATGGCCATTGTCTGCTTAGCTGTTTCCATGCCTCTCACATGGAAGCTGACACAGTTTTGTAGACAGTGTTACTGAAAAGTGGTGGTGATGCACTGGAATGCGTTGCCCAAGGAGGCTGTGGATGCCCCATCCCTGGCGGCATTCAAGGCCAGGCTGGCTGTGGCTCTGGGCAGCCTGGTTTAGTGATTGGCGACCCTGCCCACAGCAGGGGGGTTGAAACTAGATGATCATTGAGGTCCTTTCCAATCCAAGTCATGAAAAGTAATCCTTTTGATAAGTACTTACATTGTTTATCAGGTAGACGCCTCGACCCCTGGAAGAGGCCACAGGCTTCACTATCCATGGGCCTCTGTCCTTAGAATAGGTACCTGGTTAGAAGAAAACAGCATAAGTCTGAAACACTTTCCACATTTTGCTTATTTACAGAGGAGTAAGATGTTGCCTTCATATAAGACTTCAAAACTCTAGGAGCAGATCAATCTACTTTATTTTTACTCCTTAGGAATCACTGCAATTATTACTGACACACTTTTCTCTGCCCTGTAACTCATTTGTCATTGCACTTCTGTACTCCCAGACACTAGTCAGAGATGCTATGAAGCTGATCATCAACACTGTGAACAAAGAAAACTCAATTCTGGAGCCACAACCCTCAACCAGCTTCTTGAGAACTTACACAAGCAGGAATAGGCAGCAGAGTAAAAGCAATACAAAGAAATCATGTGAGTTTTTCAACTGTCTTTCCAGTCTCATCAACCACTGAAGTGATCAACAAACTAGAATACTCGCGAGTAACACCGCTCCCCCTAGCCAGTCACTTTGCTTTAGGTCTGGGTATCACTAGCAACTCTCAACTTACTGCAGAACTCCTGGTACTCTGCTGGGAGGATAAAGGTCTGAGGTAAGATATGGAACGTCTTGAATCCATGGGACAGCTGCATACGACAGACATTCTTGTAAAGCCTGTCCTTTCGTGTCAGCTCATATGACCTGAAGATCCAGAACAAGAAACTTGTTATTTTTTCCCCAGAATAAAAAAAATAACAAAACAAGAAACAAATCAAAAAAAAACCAGACACAATGCAACAGCCTATCACTAAAGCATCTGCATTCCTCTCATAGGCCTCCAACTTAAATTACAGCTACTCTTCTGCTTTTCTTTCTCTATTCTATGGATGCATTAATAACCATTCTCATCTGCAGAGCCTTTAGCTATGCTCAAGAGGGACTGAAGCAAATAGTTACAATGGTGTTTGTAAACTTGTTTGTAAATCAGCGGCGTATAACCACAACTAAGAACTCCAAGCTCCCAAACAGTTTACTTTTCTCCTCAAGTAGAGAGGATTGAGGAATAAATCAATATTTGGGCTATGGACATGCACTTAAAACTCACATATCTCATTCAAATTCCCAGAATGAAAACAGCATGTAGCACAAATTCAGTCTGCTGGGACTTTAAAATATGACCAAAAAAAAAAAGAAAAGAGGTATGCTCTCATTACTACAAACCATGACAAAGACATACAACAAAATTTGTTATCAAGACCTTACCTGGGAAAATGATTCACTTTCTGGATATCTGTAAGGGAACGCAGCAGGTAGGGCTTCAAGTGTGATCCTGTCCACATGAGATTATAATCGCTGCTATTAGGGTGCACCTAAAAAAGGGCAACACAAGAGACCCACACATAAAAACCATGGAAATAGTGAGAAGCACCACTGTTTGTCCTACAGGCTGTGTCCCTGCATCTGTGGGACCCAAGCAATTCCAGTTTAAGACAATTTCCTCTACCCACCTGTAATATTGGGTATTAGCCAGATTCTTGTCCTAAGCTACTACACAGTGATGCTAGAAAATAAACATACTGTTTTCTTGGTTTTGTTTTGTTAAAACAGGCTTGTGATTCTGTTCTTTTTATAGACCATCTAAATTCAATTTAAAAAGCACTTTAGATTTCTCCAGGAAACTTGGGAGATCAGATTTCTCAACTTTGCTTTATTCAGTAGAAAAACTACCATCCAAACGCTTCTCTCAATTGTCATAAGCTGCAGACAGGACATTCTTTAGAGCAAGGCAGGTGCTAGGAGACAAATATAAAACACTGCAAGAACACTTGTTAGCTTGGTAAAGGCTGAGAGGCAAAACTCTTCAGATCTTCCTAAAGGTATGAGGCAGTGCTCTAAAGCAAGAAAAGAAACACACAACACACAACCTTGATATCCCTTTTCTCCCTAATTTTGCAGGCTTCACAACATATTTCCTCTCTGACTGACAAAGCACAAAGGGCAGTGGTAGAAAGGGGGGAAAAAAAAACAGAACACATCACTGAGAGGCTTCCCAAGAATCTTCCTTGTTATAACTTGACATAGAAACAAACATATATTCACCCAGGTTCCAGCCCAGCACTCACCTCATGGAATCCATGTGCAGTCAGTATGCTTCGCACGAGGCGGCTGTCTGTTCGTACAATCTTATAGGACAAGTGATAACGCTCTTAACAGGGAAAAAGACACAATATTAGAGTCTGCACCTAGAAAAAATTAACTGAAGTTACCGACACTGCCAAAAAAATAAAGAGCACCATAGGGCTTAGCACAGCTGCACTTAATCTACAATGAAGCATCCACACAGTAGATGCACGTAGCAGGCAAAGAGTGGGGGGGAAATGCCTGTGTATCTCCTGAGGCATGAAGTCTATGGCACTGAAGTAATTTACACCTGTCCTCAGGTATAACAGTGCTGTGTCACTGAACCCCATCGTACCAAAATGAAAACCATGCTAACAAGTGCACAGATCTGAGTTTTGGGGTGAGGGATTTTTTTGCTGTTGTGTTTTTTTCTTTTTCTTTTCTTTTTTAAACAGCTCTTCACAGACTGCTTTATAACACTCCAAAGAATGATCTCTTCTCAACTGAAGACTGGTATCCCCTGCTAAAAGCACTCATGCTATCTACCCCTCATTGATGTGGCTAGCTTTTAAGACCTAAGAAATGGCCAAATAAGACCAAAACAAAACACTACGAATTTTTGTTCATGTATCATTAAATTGTGTTCATCTTCCCATACATAACTGGGGAAAAATAGTAAGAAATAAATAAGGTGATAGGTGAAAAAAAAAAAGAATATACAAATATAGAATTCTATATAGAATAGAAATTAAATAGAAAAAAAATCATAAAATCAAACTCAGTAAGCAGCATTGGAACATAAGATACACCAAAAGCTGTAGTACAAAAGGATTTGTTAATCCATAAATGAGTGCAAAGAAAATAGAGGCAGAAATCAACGAACTAGAACAGAATCACTTTTTCAAGTGATTCTTTTTCAAGGTACTTTACAAATGACTTCAAACCAGGAACAGAAAGATGAATGTTAGATAAAGCCTCAGTAAACAAGTTCTACCAACAAAGATAAGTCTAAAGAAAAGAGTAGAAATATCATCCAGGACTGCACAGAGCCCTAAAGGAAATGTAAGTTGTGCTATCCCATAGCAAGCTTGTTCAATTCCAAAAAAAAAAAATTAAATAAATAAAGACCCACAGCCTGAGGAAAAGCAGGAGGATACCAGACTCCAATTAGAACATAAGGTACAATCACCTTCAGTTTCTGCCATCACCAAGCATGTCTGTAACTCACATCAAAAAGATCAGGAGTTTCTACACACTTCACCTCCACCCCTTGCCCAAAGGAGTCAGGAGCACTTCTAGTTGGCTAGGACATTAGAAACGAGTTTACCAATTATCAAAGAAAGGGAGAAGCAAGAGACTACAAGGTGTCAGCATCAAAAAACCTGGGAGGATTTTCAGCTTTTCCCTAACTCAGCACATCTAGAATGAGTTCCCAGCTGCACACACCCACCAGTGCTAACTCTCGCAATCTGGAACGACTCCTTATAACAACTTTGCCTTATATAGAAGCTCTTCCTTATTTGACACTGGACAGGTTTGGTCTCCTGATGGCAGAGCTGCTACAACAGCAATCATAGACTTACAGCCTTACTCAAACTTGCCAGGCTCTGAGGCACAGACTTGCTATTAAAGCTTACTACTGTTATTGTCACAGTAGGTGGTAATTAGGGGGGAAGGAGACTCCATTTCCTGATGAAACTCTCATAAAACTCACTGGAAGAATTGATTTTAAGTTCTCAACAATCAACCAGTCAGTTTATCTTATGGTCGTAAGTGGCACAACCTTCAAATACGATCTGCAACCAGACAGTTCCAACTCAAACTCATCAGAAGGGCAAAAACAGGCACAATCTAAATATACAATAAACATTCGCTGACCAGCCAAGCATTTCTGAATGTCTCAGTGCTCAGAGACAACAAGATTAGACGTTTCTCTCCAGCATGCCCTCTTCCCCACAGAGAGAGGGAACATCCAGGTAAGAGATTTCCTGCTTCACACCTTCAGGCCAAAAGCCATTAAATTGCCGCACCCACCTCCAATTAGGCGGAGGTAGCTGTCGTTTGTCAGAATGGCATCAGCATGAAACACGAAGATGGGGATCCGCCTGCAGCCGCCACCGGTCCACCTGATGCACGGATGATCCCTAAAACAGCAAGATAGTTAGCACTAGGAGATGCTGAACCTCACACACACACGATGGTTACCACGATGATGCAGCAGTTCTCCATACTTGCCCACACTTGCCCAGCTAGCCCCCAGGCAGGACACGCAGACAAACACACACTGAGCACTCTGGTGTACTCAACTATGAAATGAATCTTCTAAATCACCCTCTTCGTAGGTAGCTCTTGCCATTTTAAATGGGAATTCTGCTTCATTTATATTGATTTTATTGAGTATGATTTGGAAGAAACTTCACAGATTTTCACAGCAACGTGTTCTCTTGAATTAAAGCCTGAGAACAAGATCTATAGTTCAGGATAGACTACAATTACTGATATCCACACAGTCAAACCTTACAATGCCAATTCCAGTCTCCAATTTAAAAAAAAACACGCAAACCTGAGCATACTTCCTGCTTGTAACCAGAGACTCTGAGAGGAGCAAAAGGGCAATCGTGTTGAATTCGACAGACTGGAAGAGATTTGGCTCCACACGATCCATGAATTTGTCTGTCCCTCCTTTTTAAATTTCTGTCAAATGCAGTGAAAAGCCCAGAATTTGACAACGATCCCCATAGCCAAGTCAGCTACAGGTTGCAACACAGTGATCTGTTCTGCCCAAAACATCAAGTCTATGTTGGAAACTATAATGTCCTCATGAAGGACATGCACACTGAAAGTTAGAAGTGATTATACAAAAGTCTAAGATGACAGAAAGCAAACAAAGCTTCATGTTACTCCCTGCTCATAGAAACAGAACCATGAAAAAGTTAACAGGAAGCAGAAACAGAGGGGCTGGGAAGATACCTATGTCTATCTACACAGATAAAAAGAAACTGAAAGACTGGCACGATGCTAGACAGACGTATTTGGCATATGAACATGCAAGATTATCATCACCAAAGGTTTGGGGACACTACAGAAGACAAAACACATCCTTCACTTACAACGCAGGAACAGAGATAAAGGACAACTTTCTGATGCTGTGACAAAATAAGCCTTCTTCAGAGTAACCTTGATCCTCTTTACCAAGTTACCCCCTGACAAACCAAGTTTACAACCCCACCACCTGCTTCTGCTACCTTCAGAAGTAACTGAAGGAGTGCAGTTAGCTTCTCTGACTGGAAGGGACCCAGGAGGATTCCAGAATTTACACTGCAGGACAGAGCCTTACGTAAGTGGGAAATGAGCTGAGGCAACAGAAGGGGACTTTACGTTAAGCCTGCCCTGAGGATTTGCAGTAAGGCTACCAAGGCTCAGGCAATCCTCCAGGTGACAGTCATTCATTCCTAGCATGACACTTGGTCACTTAATGCAGACACATTCTAGTCGAAGGCAGTTGCTGAGCTATTCATCCGTAAGAATCTAGCAATTCCAAGCCAACTTTTTAGTACAAAGTGATATCTCTCTACAAGGGCATTAAGGCACTGCTGTTTGCAGCTAGACACTGGGTCACAATATGTAATGAGAAGAAAACAAACAAGACATAATAAAGTAGGTGCGGCTGAAGCAGAAATGGGATTTCACTTTGAGAAAGAGGAAGAGAGCAATTCCTTCTCAAGCAAAAATAAAAACAGACATACACTAGACACAAATAGGGGCCCCAGAAGCTAAGCAAAAATATTAGAGCTCTCACAAGACAGTTTTCAAAAAATGGCACGTAACATTGTGTTTCAGTCCACTACAAAGTATATTTCCCTTCTCTAAAGGGAATTAAAACCAAACAAATGAAAAAGGGCATGAATTTCCATTCATGCTATCATCAAAGAATTTCCCAGCTCAGGAGCATGACAGAAAGAGATCAAAAAAACCAGAATGTTTAGAGCAGCCCAGCTGCACGCCCAGCTCTGAAGAACGTGGTGCTTTCAAGCTCTAAATGTATGCTGCCTGCCCACAGCTTGCAGACATGACCAGAATCAAGCTCCTCCACAGGTAGGACCAGGGGAAGGAACACAGCAAGAGATAAGAGGGAGTTTGTTCTCCACTTACTGCAGCCCGTCTCCAGCATCTTCCTCCTCTTCCTCCTCTTCCGAGGACGAGCCGCTTCCCTCCAGTCCCCGAGCCACGCCCGCCGGCATCTCCTCCGGCCGCTCTCATGCAGCCGGCTCGGCGGCCTCAGAGATCCCTCCTACAGATCCCAGGGATCTGACAGCAGCTGTTACCTGCAACAGGAATTAACGCCCTGAGCGCGCAGCCGGGCCGAGCAGCGAAAGCCGAAGGCCGCACAGCTCCAGCCAGGCCGCACAGCTCCAGCCGGGCCGCACAGCTCCAGCCGGGCCGCACAGCCCGCGCCCATCAGCCCCCCCTCTCCCCACAGCCTCGCCCCAGAGACGCGCCCCGCCCGCTCCGCGCCTTCCCCACGCTCCAACGGCCCTCCGGGCTGGAAGCAGCCCCCAGGCCGGCCACGCCCGACGGGGCGGTCGAGCCCCGGCCTGCCCCACAGCCTCAGAAGAGACGCCCTAAGAGCCGCCGCTCCGGCCCCGGCGCCGCGGGACCAGCTTCCCGCGCGCCGTACCCGCTTCTTCATAGCCCCATCGGCGCAGCCCGATCCGGTGGCCACTCCCGCCGCTTCCCCGTTACTACAACAACCAGCGGCGGCCGGCCCCGCCCCGCCCTCACTGCGCGTGCGCCTCCGGCGCCGTCCCTCCCGCTCCAGCGCGCACGCGCGACGCTTCCTCCACCCCGAGCGACAGGCAGCGTGGGGGCGGGACCGGGCCCCGCGCGAAGCGGCCTTCGATTGGCGGAGGTGGCCCTTGCGGCCTCGTGGCGCGAGCGTGGAGCGACACACCCGCAGCCAATAGGAGCGCAGGAGGGCGGCGCGGGTCGGAGCCCCGGTGCGGGAGCGCGGCGCGGGGCCGCGGCGGCGGCAGCAGGATGAGCCGCTTCCTGAACGTGTTGCGCAGCTGGCTCGTCATGGTGTCTGTCATCGCCGCCGGGAACACGCTGCAGAGCTTCCGCGACCACAGCTTCCTTTCGGAGAAGCTCTATACCGGCAGCCCCGGTCTCGGTAAGGGCTCGGCCTGCAGCCGGAGGGACGCCCTCCCCGTTGGCGAGAGCGCTCCTCACCGCGGTTTTTCCCTCCCTGTGCGCAGTGAACGGGCTGCAGGCGCGGACGTTCGGCATCTGGACGCTGCTGTCCTCGGTGATCCGCTGCCTGTGCGCCATCGATATCCGCAATCGAACGTACGTGGGCGGCGCCGGGCGCGGGCGGGGCAGTGCTGGGTGCCGCGCTCCGAGGGCCGCGTGTCGCCGGGCAGAGGCCGTGCGGGGCCGGAGGAGCCCGCCGCTGTCCCATAGGGGGTAGTGGAGCGACGGTAGGAAGACGTCCCGGGTGACGCGCCCTTAGTCAGCCCCGTCTTGTCGCCCCGTTCCTCGGCTCAGCCGGTTCTCACCCTGTTTGGTGTGCCCTCCTGCTTCCTATGCCACCAGCGCTCTGCCCCTTTGCTTGCCTCCAGGCAGATAACGCCAGTGACAGCACACCACTGAACACGCCACACTGTTTTCCCAGCCATTGCCCAGTGACCTTTAGTACCTCCCTGCACCAGGGACTGACTGCCCTCTGTGCTCCACAGAGAGGACAAGAACAGGCAGTATGTGGCTTTGCTGCCTGTTGTCCTGGTGTTGTGAGTTTGCTAACCTGCTTCTTTCTGCTCCAACAGCCTCTACTACATCACACTCTTCACCTTCTTCATGGCCCTTGTTCACTTCCTCTCTGAAGTCTTCATTTACCACACTGCAGCCTTGACGATTGGAGTCATGGCACCTCTCATGGTAGCAAGTAAGCAGAGGCCCCCATCCTGCTGCCCACCCCCAACCTTTCTTGGAGTTCTCAGCTCCCTGAGAACTATCTGTGGGGCAAGGAGGAGGTGTTCATGTCCCATCTGTGCAGCCTTTTTTTTATACAACTCATGCTTCATCTCTATCACAGGTTTCTCTATCCTGGGGATGCTGATTGGGCTACAATACCTAGAGGTAGAAGCGCTGTCAGAAAATAAGAAGAAAAACTGAGACTGAGCGCACTGTAAAGGTCAGCACTGTCTCCTGTTCTCACTGCCAAACTTCCACTAAAGCTCTGAACTTCTCCAGGATGCCAGTCCTAGTGGCAGATTGATGTTGGACTTCGTCAATCATCCTTCACTACTGAGTGTTTTATCTTGTCCAGGCATTTCAGCTGACTGATGTCAAAGACAAGCCCCCACAGGAGCCTGTCCAAGCTTGCAGGGAGTGCTTGGTGACTGCCTCCCTGCAGGAGGGCAGGGAGTGCCTCGGGCATGCCTATGAAAATGCTAAGGCCTGCCCCTGCTGCACCCATGGGGAGGAGGTACAGAGCCACCCAGGGTCCACTGAACATTTTGGATAGGAAAGAGAAATATGTGCTGCAGTAGTCCAACTGTGTAACTTGCATGTGTGTGTTCTGTGCAGGGGCCATTTCTAATAAATGACAGAAAACTGATAGATGCAATGTCTGTATTTGTGCTACTCAGCAGCAGGTAAATGCTCTTCAACTTTGGAACAAGTGGTTTTAGTTCTAGAGTTCTAGAGTTTAGTGCTCTCATCCTCACTGTGGAGCACAGAGGGCAGTCAGTCCCTGGTGCAGGGAGGTACTAAAGGTCACTGGGCAATGGGAAAACAAGGTGGTGTGTTCAGTGGTGCCTTGTCACATGTTGCAGGACATGTTATCCTGTTTTACAGCACCTCTATCATTCACCAAGTCCCTTCCACCAAAGCTCCAGGTCTGACTGAACGTAGCACGCACACCGAAAGAGAGTTGTTGCAGCTCCCACTGCTGCAGCATTCTAATGGCAACAAACTGCATACATCAGGAACAAGGATTGAGCTTCCTTCACAATGAGCTGCAACTGTAACAACAAGCAAATGGGAACAAGTTGCTTAGAGCTAGCTAGATGAAAGTCTAGAGCAGATGGGCAGTGTACAAAAGGTAGGAAGGAACCAGCAGGAGCTGCTAGGGGAGAAGCCTATCCCTGGGAGGAAGAAGGGGGAAAAATAAAAGGAAGAAAGAGTGTAACAGCAGCAGTGGGCAAATAGATGATTTTTTCTATTCTACATTTCAGGCTACTAAAAACAAACAAACAAAAAAAAAAAAAAAAGTTTCAACCGTATAATTCAAAAGTGTCATATTTCATTGTGTACTTAAAATTTTTTTATTTCATATAAAAATTATATTTAAAAGCCAGTTTAGACCACATCCTCAATCCCAAACTATCAAAAAAAGGATTTTTTTTTTAAAGTATATTTTCATCCAGTCTGCATTTGTGGTTTTTTTTCCAGTAAGAAGTACATAACTGTGTGATATTGGTATAAGTACACTTGATGTCTCCACCAAGGGATGGATGCTGGAAAGGAAGGTAAAGGGTTTTGAGGGTCTATGCTTGTGACTGGGAGATACCCACAGTTCTGTCTCATATGCTGGTGTTTAGGAAGGCTTCTAGTACAAAGCAGAAGCCTCCATACTCATTCCCACTGTGCTAAAAACATCTCACCATAACAGCGCAGGGCAACATTGCCCTGACAGGTCATCTGATATTCCACAAAGGCTTTTGTGTAGTGTTAAAAGTTGCAAAAGGCACTTTGTCATTAAGGAGGAAGATATGATCCTCAGCCTTGAGAGCTTGTGCTTCGAGTCGCTCCTGCTGCTAGCCCAGTGCTGATCTGGGCTCAGGCTGCAGCCACGACACTAACCCTTGCCTCTAGTAGGAGATCTATTGGTGTCTCTCATTTATTCCTACTATCCAGGAACATCAGAGCAAGCCGAGTGAATTCTAGGTGGATCTTTATCTACAGCCACATATAAAAAACTGGCACTGGCAGTTGCACTGCTTTGCACTGTTTGGCTGGTGTTGCCCCCTACCATCACCTGTGCAACATGGAGGACATCACAGGAACTCAGCACAATCTCCCTTCCTGAGAGCCTGGTCACAGCTCTCCCAGGGCGGTTCACAGTCCAGCACTGGCATTCTGTGTCACTGCTTCCCTGGGAGAGGAGGCACAGACCACATGCATGGTGCCACCCTCACCTGCTCAGGACTCGCCTGAAACTGGGGCTTTTCTGAGAATGTGTGCTTTTCTTCCAAGCATACGTGGGGTGAAGGGGAGCAGTGACTTTTCCCAACTTCTCACTCAGCGCAGTCTCCAGAACAGCAAGGTGCAGAGGTATAACTGAAGGGAGCAACTCCCTTCTTGTTTCACTCTGTCATGCTCTACAAGTAGTTCCCAGCTGCCCCTCTGCCAGAATTCACATGTAACAGGATGGTGGAGCTAGCAAGGGTGAGAAGGAGGGCAGGGTGGTGTCCTGCATCTCCAGCTCTGTCACCCCTCGTTTTCACAGCTTTGACTCCTCAAGGACTATGGGAACAGTGCAGGCTTCTGGCATCACTTTCTGCAAGTCAGAGAGAGAAAAAGAAAATGGTTAGGCTCTTGGATGGCCACACTTGGGCTTCAAAGACTAGCAGAGGCTGGCTCATTCACAGCTCCCCACTTGTGTGCACAAATCACAGAACCACATAACAGGTCGGCTTGGATGTGACTCTTAAAGATCATCTGCCATGGGCAAGGACACCTTTCACTAAAGCAAGTTGCTCAAAGTCCCTCCTGACCTGACTTAAAAAGAATCACCACTACCACACTGAGGGCTCAACCCAGGAGTGCACCTGGCTCACTCTTTCAGAACATTCCATGCTCAGATGAGGGACCTGCGGGCAGCAGAGCAGAGCAATGATCCCACTTCTCTGAAGCTGCTTGCAGGAGTCCTCAGATGATGTCACAGCAATACGAGATTGACCTCAAAGTGGTGAAGCTGCAGGGTCAGTTCTGTGGGCAAGGGAAGAAATGGGAACTCTTCCTTCATGCCATGGAGAAGGGCAGTATCTGTGGGAGCCCCAGAGAAGTTGCACCCTGTGCACTCTCTGTATCTTACAGCAGGAGGCTCAGCACAGCAACTAGCTCCAATTCTGACCTTTCTCTGGCATGTCTGAGGCTTCTTCATCTCCCAGGCTGCTTTTTTTTTTTTTTTTTTTCCCCTAAATCCCCTGAAAGAATTAGCCTGATTACCTGAACTTTCCTACAATTTCTGCCCTTAAAACAGAAGCAGCTGTACAGTCATTTCACAGAGGAAAAGCAAGGGCAACACAGCTTGCTGCCAAATTAACACAACCTGGGGCTGCATAAAACAGCTGAACTTCTGCAATTCAAATTCAGCCTCCCTGGGTAGGGCCGCATCAGCCCCTCTTGCTGCATCCTTGAAGGCTGAGTTATGATTAGACCTTACACTCCCAGGTCCCCCAGCAGGTTTCAGAAATCTCTTCAAGTTCTGGCTAGATACACTGAGACACCTCAACTGTCACTGATTTAGAAGACAGCATGCAGACCTGTAAGGGTAAACATGGGTCTTGTACGGCCTGGACTCTGAGTTAACTCACTGCAGCGCAAGACTGAGACCTGAGGCAGGAGTCAGAGGTGCACAAATAGGTTTGCATCCACAGTGCTGTTTGAGATAAGCCCAGGCAGCATGAAAGCAAGAGTTACAAAACAATTTCACTCCAAGTAGCTTCTTACACAAACAGCAGCTGAAAAGGTTTTGGAGAGGTCAGCAGCAATATCCAAATGCAGAGTGAGACCAGAAGAGCTTCAAAGACATGCCTGGAGGCAAGAGCCAGGAAGCACACAAAAGGAAAAACTTCCCGTCGGCAGGAGGAATTGCATGAAGCAGTGCTAAAGGTAGGAGAAACAGGAAAGCTGCATTTAGGCTTAAGAAAAGCCGTGAGTCATAGAAGCATGCTGGCAGCTCTGAACAGGCTCCCCAAGCACCTCTGGGAACTCAACACTTCCGTGCTATAGAGATACAGGGGTGATGGTTTAGGCCAGGACGCTGGGCTCCATGCCTTGGGACAGGAAGGCTGCTCCCACAGGTGGGAGACACAGTACTAGAAAAGGACATGCAGGTGACTGCCCATGGCTTTGCAAGAAGGCTGCTTGCCATACAGTAAACACAGAGAAGGTGCAGGGAAGTCTAAGAAACAGGAGAGGGCGCACACACTGTGCCTATTATGCAAAATTCCATCTTCTTTTTTTTTTTACTGGCAGTATTTCACTAGAGCTGGAGCATGCTCCAGCTTCCAAGGGACTCCAGTATGCTACAGAAGTAGAATGCTTTCCACGGTGTCGTGGCCAGCCTCTAAATGACACTATCATAGGGATGAAAAGGCAACATAGTTTTGGGTGTTCCACTGAGATTCAGCAGACCCATGTTCATACTGGACAAATGCACAACCATCAATACATGGTACTGAGCCCTGACTGAGTCCTGACCTCTCCAGGACACAGTTTGAGAACACAGCATAACTTGAGCCTCGTTTTAAGCAAATCCCTTATTATGGCTGCATGTCTAGGATGGCCACTGACCTGCTCAAAATCACCTACACTCGTTAGTGCTCAGCCCTGTTGGTAGAGTAGCACTTCAGACAAAAGTTTTGAATTTTATTGCAATTCAAAAGCCAGGACAAGCCAGAAATCACTTTTCCACCTACAGTCTGCTATCAAAAATAGGCTCTTGATGCACACAAACACACAAACCCACAAAAAACCTCCTACTATATGAAATCGATGTAAAGTTTCCTGAATACACTTCAATCCAATTTGTATATTCAAAGAGAGCTAGCAAAGCCCAGTCTGAAGGAAAAGACAGTAAAGACACCTTGAGATCCTGCACAAGCAAACAAGCACGATAACTTGTTTCTTAAAAAAACAAACAAAAAAAAAGAATTCACATAAGCTTAGAAGTATTTCCAAAGAATTGTTGCTTAAAAGCTTTCTTGTAGAAAGGCACTTCTGACTTAAAACAATTACAAAAATCAGCAAAGATGTTTATTGCATAATGTAAGGAAACAATAATGGACAGTTTGCATAGATGCTGGAAACCAGGAACAGATGAGCACAGGCTGTACGCAGCATAAACATGACAATAATATGGATCCTAATTCACTATTGTGAAACACCAAGATAGAATGCTGGAATGGCTTCAGATACACTTACAGTAAAATATAGCCCATTTTACATGATAATGAGTCTTTGTGGGCATTTGATTCAAGTGTCCTGAGATACAGAAAGCTAACCCTGCTGATGCTCTAGGAACTGACACAAATGAGAGGACTTTTGGAACTACATTACAGACTTCTCAATAGAGAACAGTGTTCACAATGCCATTTAGATCCACTACAAGTTCAATTGCAGCATCTGTTTAACCTTAAGCAGCAAAAAGGCACTGACAGAAGACAAAGTGCTCGCGAGCACAAGGCAGGTCCTGCAGGAAGAGGAGGAAACCATCCTGCAGTGTTGACAGTCACCAAAAGCTCTGACAGGCAGCTGCCTGGAAGCTGTGGTTCCTGGGCAGACAGTGCAGGCAGATAACAATACCGACTCTTTTCGCTGATGCTGTGG